CAGTCATTTCATATTTGAGCATCATATTAGATTTAAAGTCATCCATCAATTCCTGACAACTTCCAGTGTATATTATGTCATCAACATAGATAGACACTATAATCATTTCTGAACTTTTCCTCCACTTGGTATACAGAGTTGCTTCGCTAGTGCTTTTCTTAAACCCACAGAGTGTAAGATATGAGTCTATTTCACCATACCAGGCCCTTGGTGCCTGCTTCAGACCATACAGTGCTTTATGTAACCTGTAGACCTTATCTTCTTCCCCTTGTACAATAAATCCATCCGGCTGATCAACATACACTTCTTCTTCTAGTACACCATTCAAGAATGCCGATTTTACATCCAATTGAAACAACTTCCATTTGTTCTTTGCTGCCAGGGCAATTAATGTTCTGATTGTATCCAACCTTGCCACAGGTGCAAAGGTTTCATTATAATCAATTCCGGGCTTTTGTGCATAGCCTTTTGCAACAAGCCTAGCCTTGTTCTTTTGAACTGATCCATCCAAATTCAATTTAGTTTTGTACACCCATTTCACACCAATCACAGGTTTATCAGATGGTCTTTTCACTAATTCCCAAGTCTTATTTTTCTCAATCATGCTGATTTCATCTTTCATAGCTTTCTTCCATGCTTTATCCTGTGCAGCTTCATAATAGGATTCTGGTTCAACAATACACATGACATCTTTCATAGATTTCACTCAAACTTCTATATCTCAAAGGAGTATGATCAATCTGAGATGCAAAAATTGAGTCACTAGCACTTCCAGATTCAATGAGTGGAGAATCTGTAAGTTGAGTCTGAGAACCTTCAGCAACAGCTTGTTCCATGGAATCCGAATCCTCATCAGCTTCTTTCATCTCTGAAGATTCACTTGCAGCAATTGGAATGTACACTTCTTTGATCTTCTATCTATCCCAATCCTATGTACCATTCTCATAAAAAATAACATCTCTTGAAATGATTACTTTCTGATTTTCAGGATTAAGCAATCTGTACCCCTTTTCACAAGTGCCATATCCAATAAAAATACCAATGACACTTGTTTCATCCAGCTTCTGTCTCAGGTTTCCAGGAATAAGGGAATAACCTAATGAGCCAAACACTCTCAAGTGTTGAATTCCAGGTTTTCTTCCACTGAATTTCTCAAAAGGTGTCACATTTTCCAATACTTTTGTAGGACATCTATTTAGCAAGTAGACAGATGTAACTACAGCTTCACCCCAAAGACTATAAGGAAGACCTTTCTCATGAAGCATACACTTTGCCATCTCCACTATAGTTCTATTTTTTCTCTCTGCAACTCCATTCTGTTGTGGAGAGTATGCAACAGTAAGCTGCCACTCCAAACCCAAAGCTTCACAAAACTGTTCAAATTCATTTGAGGTAAATTCTTCTCCTCTATCTGTTCTCAATTTCTTCACTGAAAAACCACTTTGAAGTTCCACCATAGCTTTGAATTTCTTGAATACATGAAAGACATCTGACTTGTGTCTCAAGAGATATATCCAGCACATCCTCGAATAGTCATCAATGAATGTAACAAAGTATCGATTTCCACTTATGGTTGGTGTTTGCATAGGGCCACACACATCTGAGTGTATAAGTTCCAATGGCATTCTTGCTCTCCAGATTGACTCCCTTGGAAAGGACACTCTATGATTCTTACCAAATGCACATCCCTGACATACACCTTCACTGTCATGCATTTCAGGTAACCCAAGAACCATATCATGCTCCTGCAATTGTTGCAAACTTCTAAAATTCAGGTGGCCAAACCGTTTATGCCACATTGTACTATTCTGATGCACATTGGTTTTCAGTACCAAATGATCGTTTGACTTGAACACAAGTGGAAAGCATCTGTTCCCCTTTTGTTTCACACTAACCACTAAATTTGTCAGAGTTCTATCATAAAAAATATCCACCTTATAATCACCAAATAACAGAAAATACCCATGTTCAGTCATCTGCCCAACACTGAGAAGGTTTTCTGCAATTCCAGGTACTAACATAACTTCTCTTATGTACCTTTTTCCTTTATCCGTGTCAATGACCAAGGTTCCTTTGCCTTTCACATCAACAAGAACCCCTGTGCCAACTTGCACTTTTGCTTTAATACTTCTATCAATTTCCACAAGTAACTCCTCTCTGGAAGTCATGTGATTACTGCACGCACTGTCAATATACCAGGCATCACTCACAGCTTTCACTTCAGTTGATTGCTTGACCATGAAGAGATTTCCAGGTTCCAGGTTCTCCCACCTTGTTTCTAAAATTTCTTTGCTCTCCCACTTTGTCTGCAAAATTCCCTTGCTGAGCATTTTTGTTTTGATTGCAGATCCTAGCAATATGACCAGGTTTTCCACACTTGTGACATTTAATCTTCCCTTTTAGCCAACATTCACCATAGTGAAGTTTATCACAGTATTTGCATGCCCCTCCAGTGTTGTTAGCTTCATTTCTTACACTTGGAGTAAACCTGTTAGTCCACTGCTTCCCTTTGAACTTGAAGTTCTTCTGATATTTTGATCCACCAGTATTGGTATGTTGATTACCAAATTTACTATTCTTAGATGAGATATATATCTAAGCTAGCAAATGCACGTTCTGTGCTACTCTCTTCATGTCTGATTAATCTTAGTTCAAACCCTTTCAATATGGCAACCACATCTTGTGCATCAATTACATCAATATCTTTAGTATTTTCTATAACAGAAGCAATGCTATCATATGTTTTGGGTAAACTGATCAATAACTTTTGCACAATTCTCTGATTACTAAGATCTTCTCCATAGCTTCGCATCTGATTTATCAGATCAAACAACCTAGCTAAATATGCAGCTAGAGATTCACTTTCACTCATACGGGTATATTCAAAATCACGACGCAGACCTTGTAATTTCACAGATCGTACCTGTTTGTCCCTACACATACTCTTGCTTCAGAATATCCCAAGCTTCTTTTGCAGTTTCCAAGGTTGCAATGCGTGGAAAAATTTGATCCGATACGGCTCCCTGAATGATTCCAAGAGCCCTTGCATCCTTGACCAGATTTTCACTCCGCAACTTCGTTTCCACCTCAGTGAGTTCTCCTTCCCCTTTCGCTGAAGTGGTAAAACCTTTTTCAACAATATTCCATAACTCGTGAGATCGGAAGATTGTTTTCATTCGAATCTACCAGAAATCGAAATTTTCTCCGTTGAACACCGGAGCTCGAAGCTCCCCTCCACCAGATCCAGCCATGTTAGACTTAGATCACACCTCTCTCTACTATTTTCTTTGCAACGATGTGTTGCAAACACTTGCTCACTATCTCTCACAGAATCGACGCCCAGAGATTCAGACCCAACAAGGCTCTGAGGCCATGTTAGAATAAGAAGAAAATGTAGTACAACAATGGAGGATATGCTGCAATGACTAGAGTGAGAGAGAGAGAAAGAAGAGAGCAGAGAATATGACACTGCAATTCTTTTCACACGCACTGTTTGATTGCTCACTTAGTGAAAGAGGAACATCTCTCTACACTTAACAGTTACACTTCCAAACTTTTGGCAGTATTCAAAATTACATCCAAGTAATCCTAGCCATCCATCTTACACCCTATGAGATGAAGACACATGTACACTCACTTACTTAAGAACTAAGAGACTTAGATAAGAAAGCATACAACCAATTTAGCTAATCATCCTAGCAATATAAGCTAGAAATACAACTACCACATCAGATCACAATTTACACACTAACAATAATTACAAGTTTTACACAAGTGACCATTTATTACAATGGTGGAAAGGTGTTAAAAGCTTTTGCATGACGGTGTGAGTTCGAACCTCGTCGGTTGTTAATCTACAAACCCCGTCGGTAGTTAATCTAACTTCTAATCTAATAAAATCTATTTTTTGACCAAAAAAAAATAATTACAAGTTTTACTAAAAATTTAGGGGTGTGATATCTACACACCCCTTTTTACTTCTCTCACATCTTTTTGATTTTCGACCGTCGGATCGGATGAATTGAAGAAGATCAACGGACAGAAATTAATAAGGATGTGTGAGAAGTAAAAAAAGGTGTGTAGATAGCACACCTCAAAATTTACCGGAAGACTTGATCACCCATTTGTATGCTGACAACGGTGACTAGATTCACAACCTCTTTCCCACGTAAATCACATCATCCAATTTTATTTTTCTTACAACATATCACGTATCTGTCATATGTAAGACTTTTTTGGAATATGGAGCGTGAAATTGCAGCGGAAGCATCCTAGATTTTTGATCGAATATTGAGTTTGGTTTCATGACAGACTTCCTGGATCAAACACACCCTAAAAAAATATATAAAAAACCAATAAGGTCATGGTGATACGACATCATTTTAAGAGGAAAGGTAAAAACAATCTAGTTTCTATACTAGGAAGATTCACTCGAACAAATTCTTGGAAACTATGACTCAAACAAAATTCTAGGAATTCAGTATTTTTAACAAATGATAAACGTTTAAGATATATTCTTTATAATATTAGAGAAATCGAACGGTTGATCTATAACTCGCAAAGTGGTTGTAGCTCAAGTAATTTTACTCCCCAATTTTACATAAAACATAAAATAAAAACAAATCCTAATTTACATGGTAATTTTTTTTCATAGCTAGGGACAACTTCGACTATGGTAATGCAATTAATATACACTAGTTTTGGATGGAGAAGTTTCAAGATTGAGCATGGGATGGGGAGGGGCGAGAGACTTGGATGGAGAGTGAGGTTTTATGAGTTAAACAGTGATGCAAGGATGTATTACTTAAAACTTTAGAGACCGTATGTTGGGCTATATATAATTGTTTAACTCATAAACGTTTTGAGTGTTTCTAACATATGCTTATCAAAAGCCTTCTCGTTCTATCAAACAATACGAAAATTTTCAATTGAATGCAAGACATACTATTTTATATATCACAGTACTTCATGGATCATCATCATCACATATCCTTAATTCAAAGGTAATAAATGAGCATCTAGTTTTATTTTTATTTTATTTTATATAGGGACTACAGAAGCAAGCACCCTTTGTAAATTAAACTCTAAAACTTCTCAAGTATCTTGAAAGGTGCCAAAAGCCATCAGCCAACTCCAGTTGATGCATAACCTCCTACATTTACAAAAACAGCGTCGCCGTTAATTTATTGACTTCTTCCCAGGACACATACCAATTTGCGAAAGTGGTTTGACTGATGCTAATTAGTCGAGTAAAGTACAGTCTTTTCAATTAAGCAGATGCAAAACACTTAGTTGAGGCACTACAAATATGATTTTTACCTTTAATTAACGCGCTTCAAAATCTGAACTGGACATGTAGTTTGCTGAAGCAACAGTTTCAAGTTGCTGATTCCCACTTATACCAGCCTCCACCGTCCTCCTTCCAACAAAAAATGCTGGCTTTGTTGGTGATGCTAATCGAAAGCTTTCATTTGTCAACATAGATATGACATCTGACATGGTAGGGCGATCTGCTGCATTTTCTTCTACGCAAAGCAGACCGACATGGATGCATCTTAACAGTTGCTCTTTAATAAACGAATTTCCTAATGTTGGATCCGTTAATTCTAGCCCTGCACCTTTTTTCCATAACTCCCATGCCTGAAGAACAAGGATTGCATTTCATTCTAAAGAAGAAAAAATATGATTATAAATTTTAAGAGAGAGATTTGTTTGTCATACATATCCTACTAAATTGAGTGCGCGATCGTCATTGTAAAAGCTGTTGTTTTTCCTTCCACTTATGATTTCAAGCATCAATACCCCGAAACTGTAGACATCAGACTTTACAGAAATAATTCCCCCCACGGACTCTGGAGGCATGTAACCACTGCACGAAATGAAAAAGAAAATTAGTCAGTATACTTATCTGGAAAAATGCGTGTTTAGCAGTCAAAAGGGGAGGACCACGTCAATGTGATGCAGAAATACTTACAGTGTCCCCACAACCTTTCTAGTGTTTGCTTCCAATTCATTTTGGGTGAAAATCCTTGCCATACCAAAATCTGAAATTTTTGGGTTCATGTTTTCATCAAGTAGTATGTTACTAGCTTTTACATCTCTATGAATTACTTTCTTTCTTGAGTATTTGTGCAGATAAAGCAACCCTTGAGCAATTCCTTCGAGAATGCTAAAACGCTTCTTCCAATCTAGTAGTAGACCTCTGATTGGATCTGTCCAATATGTAGAGTTAAGTAGGACTAATATTAATTAATAGTAGTACTCTATGAACTTTGACAGTAAAATAAAAATCAGATAGTAAATTTAACAAATGAAATCAAGTATCTTGGTTCCTCACCAAATAAAAAGTGGTCCAAACTTTTGTTCTGCAGATACTCATATATCAACATCATTTCTTCACCATGAATGCAAAATCCGAAAAGGTGAACCAGGTTTGTATGTTGGAGTTCATATATAAGTATCAGTTCATTCTTGAATTCTGATGTTCCTTGCCCTGAACATTTCGAAAGCCTCTTCACAGCTATTTCTTGTCCCGCCGCCAATTTCCCCTGAATTGATAATCCATATCATGTTTTTGCTGTCATCTTTAGGCAAATGAAGCTAATTCCTTTTTTTTTTCTTACAGCTTTTGAATTAGAACTTGGGAGCAGCCTCTCCATAAATGGGGGTAAGGCTAGCCGACATTCACCTCTCCCAGACCCTGCGTAAAGCGGGAGCCTTGTGCACTGGGTACGACAGCTTTTGAATTAGAAGCAGAAATTTTTTTTTTTCAAAATGTTACCTTAAACCGGTCCAAACCCTCCTTGTCCTAGCTTGTTTTCTTCAGCAAAGTTGCTTGTGGCAGCCACGATGGATGAATAGCTAAAAACGCTAAAATCATGATGTCGCTTAGATTTCATGAAGATAATCATTTCGTTCTCAATCGTTGTCCGGTTCTCACCTATACAGATCAATTATAAGAAATTAAAGTTTCAATGGAGACAACAATTGTCAAAGATGTGATTAATAATCCTGTCTTATGTTGGATTATGTGGCCAAGTGGCCATATACTTTAGATTAAACAAACCAAAGGTGGACAACACCTTTCCTTGTTTTGGGGAGGAAAATAGGGAAAAGGTTTTTTGTCTTGGTCCATGGGAAGTCACGGTTGAGGTTTTGAATAATAAGTTTTGGTTGTAATGAGAAGTAAGAGTGGGATAGAAGAGAAGAAAATAGAGTGCAGAAAATTGAGAGAGCCGAAGAGAAGAGAGGGAGAGAAAGAAGGTACTGCTACAGTACCATTTTCAGAGAAGGGGTTGTTGTTCCTTTCATTGGATAATTCTCACTCCATCAAAGTGTTATTGTTGTAATAGCTTTGAGCTTTGTATAGAGAAGAAATTAATCACTATATTTCTTTCTCTATTTGTTTCTTTGGAGTGTGAGTTATTGGGTTATTTGGGTTGTGAGATTGCCAACACTTTGTAAACTCCCATTTGGTTGATAGTGGATTCTTGGGTGAGCTCCTACTGCTCCGAGGACGTACTCTAGTTACACTGACTGTTGAGGAACCTCGTTAAAATCTTGGTGTCTTTAATATTTTGTTCTTGCATTTTATTTGATATATTTCCTGTGGGTTAGCTTGAGTTGGTTCCACAAGGGTTTGGTGCTATCCTAGCACAACAATTGGTATCAGAGCACTGGTTGCTCTTGGGTACTGTCTAGTTGCCAAAAATGTCAGACGGGCAAGATGAAAATCCTTTTGGAAGCAGCTCCGGGTTTGCAAGAACGACGGTGCAAAATGCAAAGTTCGAAGTGGAAAAGTTTGATGGCACACAAACAACTTCGGGATGTGGCAATGTGAGGTCAAAGATGTGTTGGCTCAACAAGATCTACTTGCCGCGTTGGGAGAGAAGCCGGAAACTATGTCGAAGCCGGAATGGGAAAAATTAAATTTGTGGGCTTGCTCTTCAATTCGGTTGTGCCTTGCAAAAACTCAGAAGTATTTTGTGATGCGGGAGACGGTAGCAAGTGTGTGTTGTGGCAAAAATTGGAAGACAAGTATATGACAAAGAGTGCAGAGAACCGACTACACTTGAAGAAAAAAGCTCTACCGCTTCCAATACAAAGAAGGTACAAAAATGATTAGACACCTTGATGCTTTTAATAAGTTGATTGCCGACTTGTTAAATTTAGATGAGGATATTAAGGATGAAGATAAGGCCTTAATATTGTTGAATTCCTTGCCGGACTCTTATGAGCATTTTGTTACAACTATTATGCATGGTAAAGAAACTGTGAAATTTGAAGATGTGTCAAATGCCTTGATGAATTATGAAATGAGGCATAGAGATAAAAATCATGATAGTACCTCTGAAGCTTTATTTGTTAGAGGTAGATCATCGGAGAGGAGGTCATCTTCTAGCAGGAAAAAATCACAGTCTCGACCTAGAGGAAACTCTAAAGGTAGAAAACCTTTGGAAAGGGATGAATGTGCCTTTTGTCGTAATAAGGGCCATTGGAAGAAAGATTGTCCCAAATTGAAGACCAAAGGAAAAGAAAGTTCTGAAGCTAATGTTGCTGAGGTTGAAACAGATTTTTCTGATTTTGCTTTAACCACTTCCTCATCATTTGATTGTGCTACTAAGTGGGTGTTGGATACGGGTTGTACTCATCATATGACTCCTCACAAGGATTGGTTTTCAAGCTTGAAAGAGTTTTGATGGTGGCGTTGTGTTCATGGGAGATGACAATCCTTGCACAACAAAAGGGATTGGTACAGTTCGTTTGAAGTTGCATGATGGCATGGTTAAAGAGTTGACAGGTGTTCGGTATGTACCGAATTTGAAGAAAAATCTTATTTCTTTGGGTACTTTGGAATCTAAGGGTTTCAGGTTTCATTCAGATGGACAGACATTGAAAGTTACTTATGGTGCACTTGTTGTGATGAAAGCTCCTAGATGTGGCCATTTGTATTTATTGCAGGGAAGCACTGTGACAGGTGAAGCATCTGTAGTCTCTGAAAATATGGGCACATCTGATTCAGATACTACTAGATTGTGGCATATGAGATTAGGCCATGCCGGTGAGAAAGCTCTACAAGGGCTTGTGAAAAAATGTCTTCTAAAAGGTGCCACGACTTGTAAGCTTGATTTCTGCGAGCATTGTGTCTTGGGAAAGCAAACTAGAGTGAAGTTTGGTACTGCTGTACATCAGACGAAGGGCATTCTTGATTATGTGCATTCGGATGTTTGGGGTCCTACAAAGACTCCCCTCTTTGAGTGGTAGACATTGGTTCGTGACCTTTGTTGATGATTATTCAAGAAGGTCTTGGGTCTACACTATGAAGCATAAGAGTGAGGTGTTAAGCATTTTCTTGGGTTGGAAGAAAATGGTTGAGAACCAGACTGGGAGAAAGATTAAGATTTTGAGATCGGATAATGGTGGTGAATACACATCCGATCCTTTCTTTAAAGTTTGCAAAGAGGAAGGAATTGTGAGACATTTCAGTGTTCGGGGAACTCCACAACAAAAATGGAGTTGCAGAAAGATTGAATCGAACCTTGCTTGAGAAAGGTTAGATGTATGTTGTCTCAGTCGGGTTTAAGCAAGTCATTTTGGGCAGAAGCAGTTAATTATGCATGTCACATCATCAACCGGTTACCCTCAGCTGCTATTCAGGGTAAGACACCAATGGAGGTATGGACTGGAAAACCTTCTTCTGATTATGATCATATTCGTATTTTTGGTTCACCTGCTTATTTTCATGTAACTGAAAATAAACTTGATCCTAGAGCCAAAAAGGCTATCTTTCTTGGTTTTAGTAGTGGTGTCAAAGGTTACAGGTTGTGGTGTCCAGAGATGAAGAAACTGGTAATTAGTAGAGATGTGACATTTGACGAAGAAAGTATGTACAAAGTCTCTGAGAAGAATGTGAAAGATGTCCAACAGGTGGAGCTTGAGAAAGTTGCTTCTGGTACTTCAAATCCTATTTCCGCTGATGTCGAAGCCACTACAAGTGAAGAAGTTGGAGACCATGAGGATGTTGAAGAAGTTGAACTTGAAGATTCTATTCAAGTTGAAGAGCAAGTTTCACCTCAAGAGTCTATTGCCAAGAACAGAGGAAAGAGACAAATTACTAAGCCAGCTCGGTATAGTGATTATGTTGCTTTTTGCTCTTCCTATTATCACTGAAGAGATTCCATCCAATTTTGAGGAAGCTATTGAGAGTGAGGAGAAGAATAGGTGGTGCAATGCCATGGGTGATGAGATGAATTCTCTCTTGAAGAACAAGACTTGGGAGTTAGCTAAATTGCCTAAGGGCAAGAAAGCTATTGGTTGCAAATGGGTGTATGCCAAGAAGGAAGATGCTGATGAGAAAAGCAATGTGAGATTTAAAGCAAGATTAGTTGCTAAAGGGTATGCACAAAAGGAGGGCATTGACTACAATGAAATCTTTTCTCCGGTTGTGAAGCACTCCTCAATTCGCATTATGTTAGCTCTTGTTGCACAGTATGATCTTGAGCTTGTGCAACTTGATGTAAAAACGGCTTTCCTACATGGTGATTTGAATGAAGAGATTTATATGTGTCAACCAGATGGGTATATAGTGAAAGGGAAGGAGAATTTGTTTTGCAAATTGAAGAAATCACTTTATGGTTTGAAGCAATCTCCAAGGCAATGGTATTTGAGGTTTGATAAATTTATGAGAGGCCAAAATTATTCTAGAAGTCAATATGATCATTGTGTGTACTTCAAGAAGTTGCAAGATGGGTCTTTCATTTATTTATTGATATATGTTGATGATATGTTGATTGCCTCAAAGAATGTCGAAGAGATTGAGAAATTGAAGAAGCAAATGAAGAATGAGTTTGAGATGAAGGATCTTGGTGAAGCGAAGAAGATCCTTGGCATGGAGATCACTAGAGATAGAGCAAAGGGTTTCGTCAGTTTGAATCAAAAACAATACCTTGAGAAGTTGATTCGGAAGTTTGGAGTTCATGATTCAACCAAACCGGTTAGTACCCCTTTGGCTCCTCATTTTAAATTGAGTTCTCTACAATGTCCTAAAATCGATAAAGAGAAACTGCAAATGAAAAATATACCATATGCAAATTTGGTTGGTAGTTTGATGTATGCAATGGTATGCTCTAGACCGGATATTGCTCATGCAGTTGGCATGGTGAGTCGATATATGCATAATCCAAGTAAAGAGCATTGGCAAGCAGCTAAGTGGATATTGAGGTATCTCCATGGTACTCGAGATGTTGGTTTATGCTTTGAGAGGGATGACTCTGGTATTGGTCATTTTGCAGTTGGTTATGTTGATTCAGATTATGCAGGTGATCTGGATGGAAGGAAGTCTACTACAGGCTATGTGTTTACTATGGCTAAAGGGCCAGTTTGTTGGAGGTCCATTTTGCAGTCGTCTGTTGCCTTGTCTACTACAGAGGCTGAATATATGGCAGTTGCTGAAGCTATAAAGGAGGCCATTTGGATACATGGGCTTATTAGAGATTTGGGGGTTGATCAGAAGCAGGTGGAGGTACATTGTGATAGTCAGAGTGCCATTTATTTGGCTAAGTATCAGGTTCATCATGCGAGGACCAAGCACATAGATGTGCGTTATCACTTTGTTCGTGAAATTGTTGGTGAAGGGGAAATCATTCTCCAGAAGATTCCAACTAAAGACAACCCCGCTGATATGTTGACTAAGGTTGTTGGTGTAGCCAAGTTTGTTCACTGTTTGAACTTGGCTCACATTTTGCCTATATAAAGAAGGCGTTGAGTAGTAGGAGTTTTGGAGCATTTGGCTCAGCATGAGTTGTTCTCTTGCTAGTGTTTGGGAGTGATGTTGTGTGCTAATTGTGTTGGTTGGCTTATCATGGCGTTTTCGGAACTTGGCCAAGGTGGAGATTGTTGGATTATGTGGCCAAGTGGCCATATACTTTAGATTAAACAAACCAAAGGTGGACAACACCTTTCCTTGTTTTGGGGAGGAAAATAGGGAAAAGGTTTTTTGTCTTGGTCCATGGGAAGTCACGGTTGAGGTTTTGAATAATAAGTTTTGGTTGTAATGAGAAGTAAGAGTGGGATAGAAGAGAAGAAAATAGAGTGCAGAAAATTGAGAGAGCCGAAGAGAAGAGAGGGAGAGAAAGAAGGTACTGCTACAGTACCATTTTCAGAGAAGGGGTTGTTGTTCCTTTCATTGGATAATTCTCACTCCATCAAAGTGTTATTGTTGTAATAGCTTTGAGCTTTGTATAGAGAAGAAATTAATCACTATATTTCTTTCTCTATTTGTTTCTTTGGAGTGTGAGTTATTGGGTTATTTGGGTTGTGAGATTGCCAACACTTTGTAACTCCCATTTGGTTGATAGTGGATTCTTGGGTGAGCTCCTACTGCTCCGAGGACGTACTCCAGTTACACTGACTGTTGAGGAACCTCGTTAAAATCTTGGTGTCTTTAATATTTTGTTCTTGCATTTTATTTGATATATTTCCTGTGGGTTAGCTTGAGTTGGTTCCACAAGGGTTTGGTGCTATCCTAGCACAACATCTTACTGGTGCACATGATTTAAAGAAATATACCAGCTGATGCAAGGGCTGATCTTCTTCGTTGGAGTAGATAGTACGCGGTGCAAAGCACTAGAGCAGCAGCTATAGAAATGCCAATCCAAACCCATTTATCTGCTGCATCATAAACAATTAGCTAGCAACATATGCAATCAGCGTAACACACACGCACATGTACGCATTAATTGTCTTCAATTTTTGGATGAACTAGGTCTTGCAGGTTTCTTCCAGAAAACGAAGAAAAATCCGAGACAGAGAGCAGAACTTAAGACAACAATAACAAAGATAGAGGTACCTAATAATACTGATTCCACGCGTGTCACAGATTTCCGGCTTAAATCGGGTTTGCAGCCTCGGTATATATCCTTCGGATCAAGAAAAGAAAACCCTTTTGGGCATTCGCAGGTTGGCCTTTTATCTGGTTTGAGCTTACAGGTACTGTTGTAACCGCAAACACCAACGCCCAGTCGTAGGCAAATATCATCCGGCATATACACCAGAGGACTAATCCAGCTTGCATTTCCAGTGAAGTATTTCGGGTGAGAATATAAAGCGAAAATCCCATCAAAATCAAGAGTTGCCCTTATGTAGTTGTCCCTCACCGACACTCCCTCTGTCCCCTTAAGAGGGACTCTTCCATCATTTTCTCTCAGAACAGACATGTCCCCTGAGCTGCTGAACACCAATTCTTTGCCTTGACTACCTGGCACGTTCCCTGCGGTGGTCTTCGTGGAGAAGTAAGCTTTCTTGGCCTTATCTGTTGTCAAGTTGACGGAAATGAGCACGAGGTTTCCATCATCTTGCAAGCGCAGCTGGAACCGCCCTTTTGTGTAGTTAGTCTCCGATTGTCTACACGAAAGCTTCCCATTTCTCTCAATTGTCTGTCCAGGCAAAACGGTGTCTGTAGGATTGCTGAAGGTCTCCCACAAGCTCCCCGAGTTTTGGTGTTGAAGGACAAAGTTTCCGGTGTCATTCATGACCCCGTTCGCAACAGTCCCCAAGGTTATTTCGGATTTCCATATCTCTCCACCCTGAGGATTGTTAAGAACTAGTCCACTGTTGGCAGTCAAGTTCAGAACTGATCCCCTAGGTGCAACCATGGGGTTGTTACCGTCGTATGCATACCAAACCACGGTTTTGTCTGGGATATTCGCATACCATATCGAAAGCAAGAAAAGATCATTGTTTCCGAGGGGCGAAAATCCAAACTCGAAATCACCGGATGGAGAAAGCCATGATGAGGAGTCGCCTATAGTTGCAGTTAGAGAACTCCCAACTGCTACTCTTCCATTATTTTGGGAAATCACAGAAATTGGTAGCAAAAACAAAGAGAACAAAAGCATCTCTACAGAAAGAGCCACTGCCATTGCAAAAGCACCAATTTTTCAACTTGGCTTAACTGATTAGCTATATTTCTTAGTAAAGCATTGGTCCTTGTTTATATCTTCAAGTAAATGTGTGTGCATGTGCCTGTCATTTTCTAAGTTTTTGCCTGGAATCATTTTTTGAAGTCAATGTTACCCATCAGCCACGATATGACCTCAGACCTCGCTACATCACACACAATAATATCTCCGGGCCTACAGAATAATTTCTCCAAACCTACACATATCACAAGAATTTCACTTTGAAAAAAATAATATAATGAACAGTTTTATATATAAGACACCGATACCGATACTTTTTGTGATAGAACTTATTGTCTCTCTCAATTCCTTGTAATGTTGCAAGTTGGAGCAATATTGATGTAATTAGTAATGGCCCGCTAACTTGCCTCTCTCAAATCTCTTTTCATCCTACTCTCGTCCCTCGTCCGTTTTATGATTCTACTTAATTAAGCACTTATAAGTGTTCCAAATCAAACTTGTAACTTAAATAATTAAAAATATTTATCACTACACTGGGGATTCTAGGTTCCAAAATATAATATATAATATATATGAATGTTCCAAACCAAAAGGACAAGTAAATACGAGCATGACTCACGCTGCATGTGTCGGCCATTCAAGTCCACAAGTCAAAATTCAACAATGGGGCCCACAAAGAAAATTTGAAAAAGTACATGCAGATTGAGGACGTATACAAAGAATCTGAAAACAAACCTCCAGGACCAAACAAAGACGACTAAGTCTCCATTTCTGTATTCACACAAACCAAAGTACTAACTGAAGTTTTTAATGTATGATTACGTCATTGGGGTAAAACACCCGAGGCCGAGTTGAGATAATCACAGGGTTGGGGAATCGAGATCCTCTCCGAATGTCACAGTCTGGCACAAACGAACGTAGAGATCCGAACCACTTATTTTAAATTCTACGGTCTTCATTAGCCTATCCTATTGGCCCACATCACACAAGGGGCCCAAATCTTTCTCTCCCCTCTCTTGAACGGTTTGGATATCTCGGTCTGTCGATTTTGGATTGGGAGATTCAAAGAGAATTTGATTTCGGGTTTGAGGTGTGGTTCGCCGACCATTTGAAGCTCGTTGAGGCGTGGCCCATCTCATCCACGTCGGGATAGCCATTTCGTACCAAGTTGGATCCCAGGTCAGGCCAGTCATTTCATTAGCCTAAGATAGACCTGACAGACGAGGCGCTTGGATATTGCCTACCGCGACCAAATGGACCCATGGGCTCATTAGATGATGAGTCTGGACCCTGGGGTGTGTAAAGCCCACCTCAGCTCGATCCATATTCGGTCGATACTTAAGGGAAGGTGGATATGGGGTAAAGGTAGAGTAAGCTCCAAGCCATGTGGAGGTCAGTCGAGATTGAACACACATTCATAGAATCATAGTATGAAATTCAAGTCCAAATTTTAACACTACGAAACCGAAAAGCATGCAACTCCGAAGAGCATTGTTTCAGTCCAACAACCTAAACTTCCTTAAAAAACTAAGACAAAAACGACGACACTAGTAAACGGAAAAACATGCAACTCAGAAAACCATTGCTCTAGTCTAAATGAGGTTCCTCAATGCCTCAAGCTTTTCTAAACACCATAGCCTGAACCTTTTCCTTTGCGCCTTCTTTGCTTCACCAGAAACGTTCTTAATGAGCTTCCTTCAAATTTGGGACGAGCAGGCATTAGGCTGTGCACAATGCTGTAAATGCCCCTAGCCCTTGCCACACCCTAGGTGCGTACGCTTGCATGTCCGACCTGAGTTATCTCATTACGCGCGCAGTTTGATCTTCCCGTATTGACATCCCTGCTGTCTATTCTCATGCGAATCCTTTTGCTGGTGACTTCATCCGGGTCCATTTTCTTGCTCCTCAGTGCATGTTCATCTGCTTTTCCCTATTAATAAATATAGGAATCCCATAACAAACAGCATTTGACAAAACAGAACGTAATAATAACAACAAAACTTGACTTCATCCTCATTGCATGTTCATCTGCTTTTCCACTTCAAAGCAGCTGACGGCACGATTCGTACTTGGACTCCAAGATGTCTAGATTATGGAGAAACTATCCCTTTGTCCAAAACACACAAAGAAGTGGATTTTCCGTTTATACCAAGTGTGTTGAAGCATGTCCCACATGGCCACATCGGAAACTTGTTGAAGTTTAAATCCTCTTATATAGAAAGTTCGACTACTAATTGCCTTGAGGCCTTAATTTTGTATAAAACCATACCTATTGAATTGCACACGTGCTTAAGTTAAGGTTAGTATTAATGGTAATTAGTAGTGGGCCGCTGGTCGTCTTCAAAAAACTGGTACAAAGGGAAGATTTATAGAAGCAGTGTTGAGATAAAGGCAATTCATCTGTTCTTTTTAGAAGGATATAAATGAAGCAAGGTTTATCTGCTCACCCGTAATGCGGCTCAGCCCTTCATCAAAAAGTGAAATATCAAAATTACTTTTACAGCAAGAGCAATACCAGAAGATGTAATCTAAATTGTTTATATTTGGTTCCCTTGAAATCCTTTTGACTGTTTCAACATAGTATATGTTGGTATTTAAAAGTTTAGAAACTTAATACCAATTATGTGGGTGATAGGTTTTCTAACTCTATCACACCTCTATCTCTTTTACTCTCTTTGAAAATGGATCGATAGAAAGAAAAAACAGCAAGCTTCTTAAAGAAACAAGTACTTGATATATTAAAAGAGTTTCAACTCTATTGCTGAAAATATGGAATGGAATTACAAAGAGCCTTACGGAAAGGCATTCTTATACTTGCAAAAAACAAGAGAACCACACAAGTGGTTTTCATAAACAAATGCAAACAAAGACTTTCTAGACTTAGCTAGTGGAAAACTATCCATGCAAAATAAAATAAAGGGGTTCAAAGTCTTTACTTGCAGCAGTTTTAGACTATTGAACACACACACACACACACTACTTTATTCTAGTGGTTTACAACCACATTTCGGCTAGCACAGAAGAGAAGCATTAATTTGGGTAAGTGCAGGAAGTATGAGTCAAAAGAAACAGCTAGCAGCCCACTAACATTGAAATAATGTTTTTATTTGAACTTCCAACACTCCCCCTCAAATCAAAACACCTTCATTCCTAGCATGTCATGCAGCAGCCGGAATGATTCAATTGGCAGTGGCTTTGTGAAGATGTCAGCCACTTGTTCCTTGGTGTGACAATAGATAAGCTCAATTATCTTTTGCTTCACATGATCCCTCAGAAAATGGAACCTGGTATCGATGTGCTTGCTCCTTCCATGTTGAACAGGATTCTTTGCAAGCTTGATTGCAGACATGTTATCCACATGAATCACAGTAGATTCCACTTGTGGATGACATAAAGATTTCAACAGATTTCTTAACCAAATTGCCTCACACACAGTTAAGGCTGCAGCAACGTACTCGGCTTCACACGATGACAGAGCAATAATTGATTGCTTCTTTGAAGTCCATGAGAAAGCTGTTGATCCTAGAAAAAACACATAGCCAGTTGTACTTTCCCTTTCATCTTGGTCACCTCCCCAATCACTATCTGAATAACCAAATAATTTTGCATCTTCACCAAAATTATAAAACAGACCATAGTTTAGAGTGCCTCTTATGTACCTTAAAATTCTCTTGGCAGCCAACCAATGAGACTCATTTGGTGTTTCCATGTACCGACTCACGAGTCCAACACCATAAACTATATCTGGTCTTGTGATTGTAAGGTACCTCAAGCTTCCAACGAGGCTTTTGTACACGGTTGAGTTTACAAGCTCACCTTCTCCTTCCTTGGACAGTTTCAATCCAGTTGCAACTGGAGTGTTGACAATATTGCACTTGTCCATATTGAATTTCTCCAATATATCTCTCATGTACTTTTGTTGAGAGATGTAGATACCGTTACTTTCTTGCTTCACCTCTATGCCAAGAAAGTATGACATTAATCCATTGTCAGTCATCTCGAATTCACTGAACATGGATTGCTTGAACTCACAGAACATTGCTTCATTGTTTCCTGTAAACAACAAGTCATCTACATAGAGACAAATAATTAAGAACTCCCATTTTTCACCGTTCTTCATGTAAACTGAATGCTCGTATGGACATTTCTGAAATCCATTTTGGTGAAGGTAGTTATCAATCCTTGAGTTCCAAGCTCGTGGTGCTTGCTTGAGGCCATACAAAGCCTTTTTCAAATGATACACCTTATCTTCTTCTCCTTGTACTCGGAAGCCTTCCGGTTGTTTCACGTACACTTCTTCCTCAAGAACTCCATTAAGGAAGGCTGACTTGACATCTAGTTGATAAATTTTCCATTTATGATGAGTGGCAAGAGAGATTAGCAATCTTACCGTGTCAAGTCTTGCAATTGGAGCATAGACTTCATCATAGTCCACTCCATACTTCTGTTTGTAGCCCTTTGCTACAAGCCTTGACTTGTATCAATCCACACTCCCATCTGCAGTGCGTTTGATCTTGTACACCCACTTGACACCAATAGCCTTCTGATTTGGTGGGAGCTTTGTCAACTCCCAAGTGTCATTCTTCTCGATGGCATGGATTTCTTCCTCCATGGTTATTCTCCAACGATCTTCTTCCACAGCTTCATTGAATGAGAGAGGCTCGTGGTCTACATACAAGCAGAAAAAATTGGTTTCTTCTTCTTCTTCTTGTCCATATATCTCGGTGAGACTTCTTAGCCTCACTGGAGTTGATGAGCTGCTTTCCTCACTGGATGTAGGACCACTCCTTGCAATTCTGTGCACTGGAGTTATTGTGGTTATTTGAGCAGGTTGTTGCTAGATAGGTGGTACAACTTCTGGTTCTTCAAAATCAGTGGAAACAATCTTCTCTTTACTGACTTCTTTGTTGTTCCACTTCCATGCATCTTCCTCACTGAAGATGACATCTCCACTAACCACTAATTTGCCAGTTAGTGGGTTGTAGAGCTTATATGCCTTTGACTCTTCACTATAGCCCACAAACACACACTTTTCACCTCGATTATCAAGCTTCCTCCTCTTGGCTTCTGGAACCTGAGCATATGCAACACACCCAAAAACTCTTAGGTGTGCAACATTCGGCTTGTATCCACTCCAAGCCTCTTGTGGTGTCATCCTCTTGACACTCTTTGTTGGACATCGATTCAACAAATAAATTGAACAAGCTACAGCTTTTGCCCACAATTCTTTTGGCAAATTCTTCTCCTTAAGCATGGACCTTGCCATGTCAAGGATGGTTCGATTCTTTCTTTCGGCTATTCCATTTTGCTGTGGGGTATAGGCAGTAGTCAGTTGATGCCTAATTTCTTGCTCCTTGCAATATGCTTGGAAAGCATTGGAGGTGTACTCTCCACCTCTATTTGATCTCACAGCCACAAGCTTGTGGTTGCTTTCAGCCTCTGTGAGTGCCTTGAACTCCTTGAAAACTTTTAGGGCAGCTGACTTCTCCTTGAGAAAATAGACCCAAGTCTTCTTACTGAAATCATCAATGAAGGTAATAAAATACCTATTACCTCCATAGGACATAGGATCTAACGGACCACATATATCCGTATGTACCAACTGCAGTGGTGCTTTTGCTCTCCATGCATCACCAACAGGGAATGTGAGCCGTGTTTGCTTGCCAAGCACACAACCTTCACATACTTGGCGTGTGGCTTCAATCTGGGGTAGACCACGAACCATTCCTCCACTTGACAGCAACTTTAGGCCATTGAAATGAAGATGGCCAAACCGAAGATGCCATTTCCATGACTTATCTTCCATTACACCGATGTTGCAACTCCCAATCCTTGTGTTCAACTTCAATGGGAACATTCGGTTCTTTGACATTTGAACACGTGCAATAAGTTTTCTCCTTGCATTCCTAAGAGTGAGAAACATATCCTCCATATGTATAATATACCCTTTCTGGAGCAGTTGACCAACGCTCAGAATGTTGCTCTTCATACCTGGTATGTAGTAGGTATCGAAGATGTATTCTTCTCTACCATCCTTCTGGATGATTTTGATCTTTCCTTTGCCTTCAACTGGCAACTTTGAGGAGTCACCAAGACTCACAGATCCATAAGGCCCATCTTTGAGTTCGGCAAAAAACTCTTTCTTTCCACACATATGGTTGCTTGCACCAGAGTCCAAATACCAAACATCTTGTTGGTTACTGGAATCATGGTGTGCTAGTAAGACTGTAAATTCCTCACCAGCATTTCCACTTGATTCTGCCATGTTGACATGCTCACCATTTTTATATGAACATTCACCTTTCCCAGACCCTGCGTAAAGCGGGAGCCTTGTGCACTGGGTACGACCTTTTTTTTTTTTTTTATTCATTGGCATAATGTCCATATTGCTTGCAACTGTGACACTGGATATGTGCCTTTCCTCGAGTAGATCTGCATTCTTGAGACTGAGCTCGATTTTGTGCATAGCCTCTACCTCTTCCTCGGGCTCGTCCTCGGCTACAGTTGGATGAATTCCCACGACGTGAGTTCCACTGCCCACGACCTCCATTTGGTTTGTCAATATTCAACTTTGACTCCAAAGCTTGCTCTAGCGTTGTGGGGCTTGCATTCTTCTGAATGCGTTGCTCGTGAACTATGAGGGATCCTAGTAGCTCCTCTGCGCTCATCGCCTCCAAATCCTTGGATTCCTCAATGGCAGTCACCACATGCTCAAACTTAGATGTGAGTCATGTGAGTGACTGGAGTATCTTCTCCACAACTCGTACTTCATCGAGTCTCTCGCTATTTATCCTCATCTGATTTACTATCACAATGAGCCTTGAGTGATAGTCGGAGATGCTCTCCCCTTCATTCATGTGAGTAGTTTCAAAATCTGCTCGAAGTGACTGTAACCTCACTTTCTTGACTCGATCTACTCCTTTGTAGATTGTACTGAGTGTGTCCCATACTTGCTTGCTCGTTGTTGCTTCTGCAACCTTCTCAAACGTTGAATCTTCTAGACCCTGGTATAGAAGATACAACGCCTTCTGGTCCTTCTTTCGTAAGTCCTTGAGAGTGTTCCTTTGTTCTGCAGTATATGCGGCTTCTTGATTGGCAGTGGGTACAACATACCCATTACTGACAACTTCCCATAGCTCCTGTGATCCAAACAATGCTTTGAATTGGATGCACCATCTTTCATAATTTTCTTTCTTCAATGTGGGAACCTGGAGCTGCACTAAGTTGGACGCCATAACTGCTGCACTTGCCAGAATGGTATTCTGGCTCTGATACCAATTGTTGGTATTCAAAAGTTTACAAACTTAATACCAATTATGTGGGTGATAGGTTTTCTAACTCTATCACACCTCTCTCTTTCTTTTACTCTCTTTGAAAATGGATTGATAGAAAGAAAAAACAACAAGCTTCTTAAAGAAACAAGTACTTGATATATTAAAAGAGTTTCAACTCTATTGCTGAAAATATGGAATGGAATTACAAAGAGCCTTACGGAAATGCATTCTTATACTTGCAAAAAACAAGAGAACCACACAAGTGGTTTTCATAAACAAATGCAAACAAAGACTTTCTAGACTTAGCTAGTGGAAAACTATCCATGTAAAATAAAATAAAGGGGTTCAAAGTCTTTACTTGCAGCAGTTTTAGACTATTGAACACACACACACACTACTTTATTCTAGTGGTTTACAACCACATTTCGGCTAGCACAGAAGAGAAGCATTAATTTGGGTAAGTGCAGGATGAGTCAAAAGAAACAGCTAGCAGCCCACTAACATTGAAATAATGTTTTTATTTGAACTTCCAACACTATATGCAGAGAGAACCAGAACCAAGTCCAGACTCACTCGTAATAGGTCTCTCCTCATCCACAACAATATCCCAGCTTTCCCTTGTCGTGGTTTTCCCATATTTGTGCACCTTACTGCAAAGAGAGAGCAAGTTAACTTGTCAAAGAAAAACCAGAACAATAGATGCCAATGCAGTTCAGAAAGTTTATTTCCCTTCATACCCATTTCCAAAGTGCTCTTCTCCCCATGTCCTTGACCAACCTAGACATGAGAGAACAAAAACAAAGTCACATCAGATTAAATTATTGAAAGAAAAAGGTTCACTTACAAATCGACATTAGAATCAAGCAACCACGCTATGAAATACAAATTTAAAATGTAACAATTTACTGTGTCTGAAAGGAATCTGTGAAATAAAATAGTTAAACCCTAAACAGCACCACTGCAAATAGCATAAGAAAATTAAAATTAACCCTAAAGAAATTGGGAGAGAAGAATATGAAAAGGGAATACCTTTCGGCCCTTTGAGTTATTGGAAAAAACCCAACAGAGCAAAAGATAAACAAAAATACAGGAGGAAAGAAAATAAATTTTCAACTTGTAAGATTCATACACGAACAGATTGGCGGTCAAAAGCATTTCGAAACTCAGAGCCATCAAGCTTTTTGATCTGCATGGAAATTATTTATGAAGTTTGAGATTCTTATAGATGCTTTAGACACATCGACATATTGAAAAAGCAATATTCAACAACCTAGTACCCATGCTCCCTAGAAGGGTACAGAAAATATGAATGTCTGGACTCTGGAGTGAGAAAGTAAAAGGACTTGCCGCATACTTCATATCTTCCAAGTTTGTGTAGTCTACAATCCCTGTTGTGCCTACAAAAAAGGCATAGGACAAAAGCTAAATCAATCGAAATTCTGATGTCTCATGATCTAGGTCTTAGGATTAAACTACTGAAATAACACTACATGAAATAGCTGTGTATATCCCAAAAAAAGTATGAAATCTGGTTGATAATTGAAGACTTCGAAGGGATTTACCTTTGGATTCTTTGGCTTTCAGATGGAGTTTGCTTATGTGTGGGGGAGAGAGGTGGAGCGGCTAGGGCTTGAGTATGGAAGAGATGAAAAATGCAGAGAGCACCTGTTTTCGCTGAAGCAACTCACACACTCTGGACAAATCTGCAAATGTCTAAAAGGGGGAAAATATAAAAAGAAACCTTAACAACTGAATTCAAAGAAACATTATTACATTGTAAATAACATTTCACAAAAAAAAAAAAAAAAAAAAAAAACTGAACTAAACTAATTACACTCGGATTGCAATGCTATCATTTAATAATAGGAATTCCCATAACTTAGCAGAAGACCTGCATCTGCAAAGGATTCTTTAAAACCTATTTTTTTTGAACAACCCCGCACCTACAACACATCCAGGCAAGGTAAACCAATAGCACCCTCATTCTAAGCTCTTCTGTGCATATATACCCCTTATAAGTAATCTTAATCAATCAGTTATCATGAATATAGTCAGTTATCACGAATATACAACTTATATTAATTTTCTACAATATCCAACACACAAATATAACAGAAGAGGAAACTTTTACTTAAGCAGCACAAAATGATATCCTTTGCATTTCATTCCAAAATCCATCACTCTTATGTCTTTGCCTGCACAGTTTTTGCTCCAACATAGCCCGCCATGATGATAGCACTATCAATAATTAAGACATAAAGAAAGGCTATCCTAGCTAGGTATTATCATTGGAGTAAACCAACAACACCATAAGTAAAGTAGCAGACCAAATTTTTTCTAGAATTGATGTCTTAACATGTTTAAGTAGCGAAAAGATTACAACACATTGGATGTGTTAACACATCCATAAGCTAATGACTCCCTCTCCGGATCACTACATCATTCTTAATGTATTCAACAATGCAGCAGCAATTAAAAGTCCTTGGAAAATGCCAAGCTACTACAATGACATAACGAAAAACTATATCTCACCTTACCCCCTTGTTGGCATAGACTGCATATCCGCCCTTGTTCGGGGTGAATCATAATCCTGAACTCAATTATCATCATCGTTGAGAATGTCAAACTTTAAATCAACCATGCATGGAACAAAACTTAGAAATTAAACAATTATCAAAGCTTATGAAGAATGCTAAACCCAACTAATTCGAAACATAAAGTAACCCAAAAGAGAGAAAACTTATAAATTTTACATAAATTATAATCCTTAACAGAAGGATGGAACAAAGCAGGTTCATTCTTGAGAATAGATGTAATTTTGCACATTGCATATATGTAGATTAAGGCTGGTGGTAACATACCTTGTAATTTGTACAAATTAGGATTTTCATTCAAAGAACCATAATATACACAATTACAAAAACAGTGATTCAAACTTGTTCTTCTCTTAAGGAAATTACTCACAGTTGAAATTCTGAATGGACGAAGTTTTGGCATCCCTTTCTGACTATATTTGATTAACCTTTTTTTAATCCAATGAGTGCCTTCATGAGAGAGAGAGAGAGAGAGAGAGGAATATTAGGTGAAATGTATTGCCAAATCACACAGAGATCAAAATCTTGAATATATATGTTTAACCATATCAAAGTGAGTGTGTGAAAGGGTGTAGTCTGCAGAAAGGGCAACATTTTCACTGCTAGAAAGTTGGAAACTAAACTTTTACACAGATATTGGATTTTATTAATTCCCTCCGCGAATTGAAAAGCAAATTGTTCGAGTAATGCAGGTAAATTCGATATACATATGCGTTGATCTATGTAAGACAGTTATAAGTTATAACTGTATCGTCTTAACACAAAAATGATCATAAATGTAAGTGTCTGTATTATGGAAGTAAGGGACTTACAGCAATTGCTATGAGCTATAACAGCAGTCACTCCAAGTACCCTATTATGGAAGTAAGGGACTTATATCAATTGCTATGAGCTCTACCAGCAGTCTCTCAAAGTGGTGCAACGGCTAAAATTATAAATAAAAAGTAATTTAAACAATTTAACTTAATAAAATATTGTAATTTAAACAATGCCTATATATTCAAACATCCCAAAACAGGAATGAACTTCCAAAAAACATGCGCATGAAAATAAACGGCATTACTCACCCATTGAGTTGGACCATCAAACTGGAGCGTAAGAAGGATCATCATGTACCTATGAAACCCAAAGGAAACTTTTAGCAACCCCAAAGCTTGTATGCAAGCGTGAATAAGTATGCGTGTATGAATCTATTCATAGTGAAGAAGGCTACCTTAAGAAATATTTGCATCTGCAGCTTCATATGGCCATACAACAAAAAGCATCGCATATGATAACAAACCCCAGCTGCACCACAAAAGGAATATGATCTTCCTCTCAACTTGTATTTGCAGTTGTTACTGTAACATCTGCAGACAGCATACATAAGCACTGATTCGAAAATTCTAAAGGAAAAAAAGTCCTTATTCGATAATGCACCAAATCCTATCCGAAAACCAAGGGGGTGCCATATCCCTAGATTAACAGAGCATCTTTCTTTGTTCCAAAACAAATTGCAATTGGCTTTGGTAAAGTAGAAAGATTACCAGATACCGACTCTGTTCCATTATTCGACTGTCCTTTTAGTTCTGTCTCTCAACATGGGAAATACAATAAGACAGTAAAAACAAAAGTTAGTGATGCTATTACATAGTGAAAGAAAATAAGACATTCACATATTGATAGCTATTTACTGTCCTTTCTCATCATAATCTTGGCCCATATATATATATATATATATTGAATTTTGAAAGCAATGAGAGAAATATACCTTTGGGGCGTCACTGCCAGAAGGGTGAGTGAGGGATCTAAGATGTTTGAGAGCAGAAATTTTTAAGTAATTTGTGCGAAAAAGTTGAAGAGCTTCGAACAGAGTGGAGTGGGTTGGCCTGGGCTAAAATAAAGAGGATGAACTCTAGAAAGTAGAAAATGTTGTGTTCAACCAAACTCAAAAGTAAAGAAACCATACAATTAACATATAAATAAGTTTTATATACCAATGATTACATGTACGTTGTTTGAGAAGGTAAATTAGCAACATATACAGTGATCAAAAGATTAACAGCAATAAACTGCTCATTATTCAAAATATACAAGAAAGTTGTCATTCACATGATCCAAATGGTAGAGGACAAAACAGAAGGAAGCAAATATTATAGCAGCATAAGTTGAATAATTGCAGCAAGTAAACAAATAGAAAGGCTAGCTAGATTACACAATCCAGTTCTAGGTCAGACTAACCATGTTAGCCATCCGCCCACCACCATCACCGTCGGCTTCTTATTAAAAATGTAGAATAGAAGACTCAAAAACTGGAAATGAAAGTAGGTAACATTGAGTTTTAATAACCAAAAAGGGACACTGTTTAAGCAGCTCCACAACAGCAATAATACTTGGACGATGAGCTGCAAAAACAGAAAAGAAAACACAAATTAAACTAAAAAAATATAAAATTTAACACTAATCCAAGGATTAAATATCAAATATAAAGTCATTAGGATTGGGACCTTTGCATTGAGGAATATCTACTACATTATGAGTTCCCTCCTGATAAAGCCCAATCAGGGGGTTTTCCGATGAGCCAAGAACGGCTAACTTTGCGTGACACCGCCATCCCCACTAACACCAAACCAAGATAATATCAAGATCAAAACTAACCAATACCAGAAAGATTTTTTTATTTAAATTTTAAGAAAAGACCTAAACTTTACGAAATTAAGGGGGAAAACAAAGTTAAGTAAAGCACCAATTTGCAACTGTCAAAAGTGAAATATGAGACTGCAACTGCCTAGAAGAACTCCGTGGCCTCATCGACGATGACCGGATGGTGGAGATTGAACTGGTGCGTACACCTGGAGCACCTGATTATACACCGAACATAGAACAAAATTTAAATCAAGTCGAACAATAATTGTGAGAAAATAAACTAAAAGGGATTTGAGCTGAGAGTTACGATTCGAAGTGCGGCAATGGAGGGTGCAGGTTAGCGGCGGCAGAGGAGGGGTTGAGCTTGGGCTCAGTGAGAGAGAAGGTAGTGCTAAAGGCACTATTTGTCAGCCAATCATGTAATAGGCACACCACTTTTCTATATATGACAAAAATTAGGAGTTCTCCAAACTAAAGCATGAAATTAGATTCACCAGAGAATTGGAAATTGCACATGAAAAAAATAATATACATCATGCCATTTGTGATTTTGAAAGA